GACCCCCGGCCTTGGTGCCGCGCCGCCTCCGCCGCTGCAGCCGTGGCATAACCCCCAGCTCCCCTCGAGAGGTTCTGCCGGGGATCAGTTTGGCTTCGATTGTGCTTGAAGGCGGCACATACATTCATATGTGCGTTTTGCGTATATATATAGATATATATGTGTATTGACATATTGTTGCATGCATGTGTTCCTGTATGCATGTATTGTTCAATGCATGCATGCACATGTGTATATATGCATGCCTGTCTGTCTGTCTGTCTGTCTGTCTGTCTGTCTGTCTGTCCGTCCGTGTCTGTCTGGTTGTCTGTATGTCTGTGTATGTATGTATGTATGTATGTAGGTATGCATGTAGATCTGTAGGTAGGCGTGTATGTATGTACGTATAGGCATGTATACACGCACGCATGCATGCATGCATATACGTATGTAGGCATGTATTTACATGTGTGTACGTGTATGCGTGTGTGTATGCATGTGTGCATGCATGTATGTATGTATGTATGTACGTAGGTAGGTTGGTTGACAGGCGTGCGTGCATGTATGCATGTACGTGTGTATGTATGTATGTATGTCTAGATGTCTGCATTTACGGATGTATGTACGTGTGCATGTATGTGTATAAGTGTGAAGTGTGTGACCTTCTTTGTTTGCACGGATGCATAGATTCACATGCATGTATGCATGCATGCATGTGGGTAGGTCGATCGCTAGGCCGTGTGCTTGTATTCACGAATGTCTGTATGACCGCATGCATGCCTGTATGACCGTATGACCGTATGCATGCCTGTATGGCCGTGCGTATGTATGGATGCATACATGCATGCATGTTTGTATGACCGTATGGAGGTAGTTCAGCATGTGTATGTATGTACGTACGTATGCACGTATGCATGTACGCATGTACGTATGTGCGTCTGTACGTATGTACGTATGCATGTATGCATGCATGACTGCATGTAGACGGGACGACAGGTACGTCGGCAGAGCGGCATACATGTATGTGGGTGTGCATGCACGTGCGTGTGTATGTATGTGGGTATACATGTATGTACGTGTATGCATGTATGTATGTATGCAGGTGTGCATGTGATGCATATGTTTATATGTATGCAGTCATGTATGGATGTATGCATGTGTGTATGTATGTCTGTATATATATATATATATATATATATATGCAAGTATGCACGTACGTGTGTATGCATGCATTAATGCACGCATGTATGTATGAATGTCATGTCAGGTATGTATATGTGCATGACTGTATGCATGTACGTGGGTGCGTGGATGCGTGCATGTATGTATGCATGTTTATGTTTGTATCTACGCATGCATGTATGCTTGTATATATGTATGCCTGTATGTATGCATGCATGCATGCATGCATATGTGTATGCATGTATGTGTTATACGTGTACGTATTCGTGTACGCATGTATGCATGCGCGGATGCATGCGTGTATGTATGTATGTGTGTGTATGTGTGTATGCATCCATGTATGTATGTGGGTATGTATGCGCAGGGGCGTTCATGGGTGTAGCGATGTGGGGACGGGAGGAGGTCAGGGAGCAGGAGTGGGGGACAGGAAGCACTGATGGGGAACCTGTTTTTTCCCCCGAGCCCTGACCTGGTTGGCTCTTTGTTGTGAACAGAACACTCCTCGCGCAACTTCCTGTCCACTCGCCTGTCCCTCCTCCTGCCTCCAGCTCCCTCGTCCACTCTTTGACCTCCCAGTCTTTCTGTGTCGGGCCCTCGTTTTGAATCGAGTGTTGTCGTCTACACTCAATCCTTCCCCTCTCCCTTCTCCTGCCTCCCCGCTGCACTGCCACCTTCGCAACTGTCGCCACTATCGTGGGCCCTAGGAGATCCAGCGCACTACGCACACCCAGGCCAGACCTCGTGGCTCTTGGCTCCCTGGACGTCCAGCGGAGTGACGTTCGCGCAACTGTCGCCACTTTCGTGGGCTCTGGGGAGGTCCAGCGGAGTGGCGTCCTACGTACACCCAGACTGGACCTCGCGGCTGCCTGGGGGCTGCCGCGTGCTCGTCTGCCGCCACCTTCGTGGGCTCAGGGACTTTAAGGGTAGCTCTTTGGGAGATGTTATAGCATCGGGAGTATAGTTCGCACGCCGTTGCCTTTGGCTCAAGGCACGCGCGCCCTATTTGCCCGGACACTTACCGTAGTGTTCGCTATGTGCTGGAAAGACCGATACATCGATCTTATCCTATCTTACCCATCCACTCCCCATATCGTATTCCTTCGACATGGAATTGGATGCAATGTGAGCTCATCCGCCTCCCATGGAGACGGATGCTATTTGACCTACCAGGCTCACTTTCGATTTGGTGCGGAGCTGGCCGCACCCTCGTGTGGTCAGCTCTTGCTCTTCTCATCCTCATACTCTTCGGCACGATCCTCGTGACCACCTACCACCCTGCGCTACCACTCCCAGTACGTTTACGAGGATCTATCCAAGAGCAAGAAGCAACACGAGAGGTACGACGTCTAGACAAAAACATCGGTACCATATACGTTTCATCACTGCGCTACTACCAACCGCTCGGCAACGAGCCAAAAGCGCAATACTTGTAGCATGGGCGGAGAGATCCGCCAGATAGAGCGCCTCGCAGATTCAACAAGGCGCTACCCCAGCGCGGCAACGCGCCTAATAACCACCCCTATCTACACAGCCTTGGGCTGGTTATATTCGCTATCATATGGTTCGCGCTGGGGGCAGCAATCGGACACATGCGCCGCGGAGAAAACAGCACCGATGGGCAAACACATGGCCCATACTGGGACCCTCACGGCAACGTACCTTTTCGTGAGTACGTTTATGAGGTCAACGCATGGCTCAACGTCACTAGCGGACGTATGACGCCACAGGCCCAAGCGGCCGCCATACAACGCGGCCTAGGTGGCCTAGCGAGGACACTCGCCATGAGGGTACCACCTGACATTGTAAACAATGGTGCTGACATCGATGGGGTCCACACAGACCCAGTGACCTACATCATGTTCCTCCTAAGCATGAAGTTCGAGCGCCTGGAAGATGAGCTCCAGCTCACTTCCGGCACACAGCTCATCGACTTTCATGTGCCTCACGGAGAACGAGTCGACGTCACTCTAACCCGATTCGAAATGGCCCGACTTGAGGCACAGTCGGTGGGACTCGACCTTCCCAACTTCCAGTTACTAACCACGATCCTGTTCCGCGCCTTAGGCGTCGGCAACCAGCGAGCCATGCAACTCTTACAGCCACTCAATCATCAAATGCCCCGAACTCAACAACAGTATGATGAGTTGCTGGAGAGGATGCGTTCGATAGGCCACCTATCAGAAAGGCCTCCTGGTAATGTAGGATCTGTGTTTGGAAGGGGAAGGGGATCTGGTGGTGGAAATTTCTACACTACCTTAACCGCTGAAGCCCAGCCTGGAAACTGGCCCTCAAGCATATGGGCCGACGATCCCGGAGAATCTACTGCTTCATTAGCAGGGGATCGACCACAACCAAGCTGGGCGACCAGCCCTCCTTCCAGAGAGCCTCAACCACACCGTTCTCTGTGGGGCGAATCAAACCCCCTTACCGACGGTGTGTCCACCTACTTGGGAGACGATGATTTCGACTCCGGCACCGACACTGATGATGCATCATCCGGCGGTGTTGAAGCTTTAGACGGGGCAGATATTATGAATATGGAAACTGACAATCAGCGTGCTGAACACCTATTTTGGTTATTACAACAGGCTAGACGGAGGTGGAGGAGGTTCACACGAAAACCAGTGCGACGTGTTGGGAGGAGGATGCGGAGGAGCTTCAAAGGAAAAGGTAAAGACAAGCGGGGTCGTCGGAGGTTGAACGGACGAGGCATCGCGGCATTCCTCCAGAGGCTCTCGGATGAACAGTATGATGAGATATTCTTCGGGGGAAAGGGCCGCGGCAAAGGCCGTAGAGAGACCTCAGGAAAAAGGCAAAGGTAGGCGGGGAAACCCGCGAGGTAGAGACGGCCAGGTTCTAAAGTGCCATGAGTGTGATAGTGCCGACCATCTTGTGAGAGATTGTCCAGCGAAGGGAAATGGAAAGGGCAGATCGACCGAAGTCCATTTTGGCTCAAGCGAACCATTCATCGAATATCTGAGCCTCCAGGATTTTGAGGCCATGGAACAGATATTTTAAACTTGGGTCAGTTGCATGGACCACGTCGACGAGCTCGAGGCGCATGGTCATGGATTGTACGCGTACTACCTCGAGTACGTCCGCAGGTTCGTTGTTGGCAACAACGAGCTCACCCCCGTGGATCACGGTACGCTGGGAAACCAGCCTTTGTCTTCCTTCGACTGGCTGTTCGGGAACCCAGGCAACATCATGGCCTACGAAAGCAGTGACGAGGACATCACTGTTGAGGCCTCGCCTTCCGAGGTTGACCGCAACCTCCAACCTCCACCTGAACTCCCGCCTGGAAACAGGCCTATCTATCCCCGAAGTAATGATGAACTTATAGAAATTGGAGTCTCAAGCGTTCGTTCAAGTTTTCATTGCAGGCGCACCAGAGGTGCCATCTGCACCCCCTGGTTCGCTTGCTCCAGGCGAGTACGGACCACGCACACTACTGCAAACCCTCATGAGGATGCACGAGGTATGGACCATCGCATATCCCGAGAGTCAAGAAAGCATCGAAGCTGGCATCATGATGCTGCAGGACACTGACGCCTGCGACGACTCGGAGTTAGTGTTGGCAGCTTTGACCCTCATCGACAGCGTGCACCCTGAGGACGTGCAGAGGCATGTGTGGTACTCCCGAGGGAGATGGCGCGATGCCCTTGAAAGGGCCATCGCCATGCGCGGTCAGGCTCTTCCTCCGCCAGGACGGGGTCTCCAGGCGGCGGGACTATGGCCAAATAACACTGCCATGCGCAACATTGCTGGGCAGCCTGTGCTCGGCAACGAGCCTGAGCCGACAACCGCACCGCCTACCCCGGGACAGCCGAGCGACGCAC